TTGGGGTACTTTTACATTCTATACTGCACCCGAGTACACCCCTGTAATTATCACGGGGTATTTTTAAAATCTACACTACACACAAGTTTACCCCTGTAATTATGTTGGGATATTTTTTGTTTCCACATTACATTGGGGTCACCCCGGTTTCACCCCACACTTGTCCCAGGATAGATGGATGCTGTTTTAGGGTGATTCCACACAAGACCTTTAATTCTGGTTCAACCCTGTCCCTGAACTTACATTCTATACTACACTCGAGTCCACCCCTCTAATTATCTTGGGGTATTTTTACACTCTACACTACACTCGGGTTCACCCCTGTAAGCATCTCAGGGTATGTATTGTTTCCACATTACATTAAGGTCACCCCAGTTTTGCCCCACACTTGTCCTGGGATAAACAGATGCTGTTATAACCAGGGATAAATGGAAGGTATTGTATCGCAAGTTGAACTCTGAGAAAACCGGGGATGAGATCCAAGTGCAGAACGGACCATAACCAGAGATAAATGCCAGGTATTGGGAAAGTATTGTATTGCGAGTTGAACTCTGAGAAAACCGAGGATGAGATCCAAGTGCAGAAAGGACCTCTGTTTGGCATGTGATGTTAGGCAGGTGGGGCGTAACTTTGAATGATTGTGGGGCAAAGCAAAGACTGGGGCTGGAGGTGGGTCTTCCTCGGCCATGGGGCAATGGAGCTGGTGCCCCAGGACAGGACAGGCATGCAGGAGGCTGCCACCTTGGCTGCTGAGGTACGGACAGATGTGTCATGGTGTCTCAGCTGCCCTCTATCGAGGACTTCACCACTGTCAAGCCCATCAGCCATGGTGCCTTCAGGAAGGTCTACCTAGGCCAGTTCAGCATCTTGGTTTTGAGTGTCCCTTAGCGGTCAGGGACCCACATACCTTTGGGACCGCCAGTCTTGGTATACCCCCAGAAGAGTGATACCCTCCAGGAATAAGAACCTTCTGGTGTTCCCCAACCCAAGAGAGATCCGGCTGTCTTCAACTAGGGCCAGGGCTTTCTTGGCCCTGGCCCTCACCTGGTGGAACTCTCTGCTGGAGAATATTCATTCCCTGCCGAATTTACTATCTTTCTGGAGGGGCATGCAAGGCAGAGATGTTCTGCCAGGCATTTGGTTGAGGGCAGCAACGGGACAGTATGAAATCTGTCACTCTCACACACTCCTACCCTCTGCAACCCCCTCCCCCTCAGGCGGCCTGTGAAAATTAAAATCTCTCATCTGCTATCCACCACAAGGTTGGACCAGAACCAGCGGGTTGAAATTAAATCAAAAGAGTTTCTGGCTAAACAGTAGAAAGAACTTCCTAGAGTAGTTCCTCAGTGGAATAGGCTTCCTATGGAGGTGGTGGACTCTCCTTTTTTTGGAGGTTTTTGAGCAGAGGCTAGACGGCCACCTGACAGCAATGCTGATTCTGTGGACTTAGGCTGGCCATGAGAGGGAGGGCAGGAAGGGTTGCCTCAGTGCTTAGTTCTCGTGGCTTTCTTACACGCCCAGGGAAATGCCGATTGCCACGTTGGAGTCAGGAAGCCATTTTTCTTTGATGTTTTGATGTTAAAGAAAACAGTCTGGATGAAGGAGATTGGCCATACAATAGAAACAGATCAATGCTTAAAACCTTGGAAAGCCCTTAAATATATGAGAGCGACGCCGTTTAAGGAGAATATATATATTACCCCATTCCATATCCCCAGTCAAACTGATACAGATCCATTTAAGTTTCTAATGCAGTCTTTCTCCAGCCTAAGGGACCTCTGCCCAATGTTTGTACAAACACTTAAGTCCAACTTTTGCTCAATGAATTGGGAAGCTAGGAATAGGATCCATCACACTGCATTCTAATACATCTAACAACTTCCTTTTGTGGTATCTCTACCATTTTTTAAATCTGGAAACAAACCCCCTGACACACACACAAAAAATGTGCTGAGGGATAACGCACTCAAAGACACAAAACCCCACAAACTCGGATATGATGTGAATGTGTAAATCTACTTTACGGCTCAGGTCCCTAACTAGACTTCCTGACAAAGCAAGGTAGCTCCACCAGGAGGGGAGTGATTCCTTCAATTCCCCGTTCTTATTGTAGATCTCCATTGTGCCCCATAGCTCCTCTCAGAACTCCACTAATCCCCAGGTGCGGGATGTCATATATTTTCAGATGTGATCGCTGGACGTCACAAATGGACATGCTTTGAAACCACTTCTCAGCACATGGTACTTCTTATCTTACTGTTCTCTTGACTCAAAGGACTTGAACAGAGTGAAGATCCAACCCTCTTACAGGCAATCACCACAGCTAAATATTGCACAACTGCTAAGGTAGTTTTCCAATCCTCATCTACATGGGAAAACTGGATGGTTTTTGGAGATGACAAATTCACATAACCTATTAAGAGGGAGGGCAAACGCTTTCCCCTCAACCCAGAACAGATCTCACACTTCAATCAAACACGTTCTAAGGATATAAACTGACTAGATCCATATGTTCAATCTCTGTCTGAATCCACTGTTCCCGTGAATAGGCCTTCCAGTGTGGCCGAGGGAAAAGAATTTAACTGAGCGAGCATAAATGCTCTTCTATAATGAGGGATCGTTAGGTCTTTTAAGTATCTCAGAATAGCACAAGAGAAGGGAACGCCAAAAAATGCTGGTGAGCATATACGCCGTGCCCTCAATAAGATACTTGTTCTATCCAAATTAAATATTGAGGGCTTTAATTGTTTTATGATGTCCATATCTTTGTTATTGAACACAAACCATTGGAGCCTATTTTTAGTGACCACCTTCCATGGCCTCATATAAGGATCTTTCTCAATAAGATCCAAAACCCCTTTCCTCATTCCAGAGACTTTTTGCTTTAATTTAAATAGCACATTATACAATATGCATAAAGCAAAGTAAAGCATTGTGCAATATGCATGAAAGCAAAGAGTAACTCACATCATGATCGAAGGATGATTAGCAGCACATCTCCTACACAGAATTGTCTTCTATCTATGGATTATTATTATTATTACTGCAAAGGAGTCTGTGGTGGGGCCAATGTATGAGTTGAATGAACCTGATCTGCTATAGTTCTGCAACTGCTTTGCCACCAGCTCAAGCGAAAGCTGTCACCACTGAAAGTACTGTGTTCGAAGTAGGGATGCTTGAACACCATCCCATTCAGCTCACATTCTGTTTGCTGGCTGCAAGCAGGGAACCAGTTTTTCATCGAGCAGTTTAGCTGCTTGTGAGCCATCCGAGCCTGTTCAGTGAGTTACTTTCCATGCATCTGAACAGTGCAGTGTGGTGCCTTCAGTACTATTTCATGCACAAATATTCAAACGCAATTGAGTGAGAGTCCAAGTCCCCTCCAAAGACCTGTCATTGTTGTGCACTGCTGGGCAGTCGAAAGCAAAGAGTAAGCAAGCCAATCAGAGTCAGCCAATAATTATAAACAAACACTGCTATCTTTAAAATGTCATAGCATTTCTTTTCTTTTCTTTTTTGCAGTATGTAGCAGCTGACTTATGGCAACCCCTGTTGGGTTTTCATGGCAAGACACATTCAGAGGTGGTTTGCCATTGCCTGACTCTGCATAGCAACCCTGGAGTTCCTCAGTGGTTTCCAATCCAAGTACTAACCAGGGCCAACGTTGCTTACCTTCTGAGAACTAAGAACATAAGAGACGCCAATGTTGGATCAGGCCAAAGGTCCATCCAGTCCAACACTCTGTATCACACAGTGACCCGAAATACCAGGTGCCATCAGGAGGTCCACCAGTGGGGCCAGGACATTAGAAGCCCTCCCACTTTTGACCACCCCCCAAGCACCAAGAAGACAGAGCATCACTTGCCCCAGAGTCCCTATCTATACCTTGGGGCTAATAGCCACTGATGGACCTCTGCTCCATATGCCTATCTAATTCCCTTTTGAAGCCGGCCATGCTTGTAGTCACCACCACTTCCTGATGAGATCAGGTTAGTCTGGGCTATCCAGGTATATATATGACTGAGTGTAATATTTTGTCTGAAGAGACTCATGCCCTATGGGACTTGTCTGCATTTTGCAGGGCATGTAAATAAGAGTTATTCCACCAGGCAGTCTGCTAATGTAAGCTCGGTGGACTCTATCATCAATGCTGCTGATTTTTTTAATACCAAAAACATTAGTTTGTTGCATGCTGAATTTTTACTAGGGATGGGCATGAACTGGCTCATGAACTAAAGTTTGTGATGAATTTTGGCTGGGTTGTGGTTCACGAAGTGAAGTTCGCGGCAGGTTCGACGGGCATGAACTTTCCGCAAACTTTCCAGCTGGTTGTGGCAGTTCATGCCAGTTTTTAAACAAATACATTTCCAGGCTCTGCTCAACCTAAATGTTTTCCCAACTTCAAAGCAAGGAAAGGGCAGAACTTGGAGGCCAGGTAGAGGAGCATCAGGGGAGGTCAATGACAGGCAGTCATTTTGACAGGGGCAGGTTCAGGAGGTCCAGGAGGGTATAGGATGGAACCTGTGCAAACTAGAGACACTAAACTCACAGGAACAACTGCTGCACACTGAGTGTATTTTTCTAGGATCAAGTTGCACTAGTGAAAGTAAAGGTTTCCCTTGCTCGAACGCTAGTCGAACCCGACTCTAGGGGGTGGTGCTCATCTCCATTTCCAAGCCGAAGAGCCAGCGCTGTCCGAAGACATTTCCATGGTCATGTGACTGGCGCGACTAGATGCCGAGGCACACAGAACGCTGTTACCTTCCCACCAAAGCTTTTGAACTGCTAGGTTGGCAGGAGCTGGGACCAGAGATGGGAGCTCACTCTGCCACATGGCACTCGGGTCTTGGACTGCCAAACTACCGACCTTCCGGTCTGCAACTCAGCGTCTTAACCTCTAAGCCACTGCAGCCACCACGAGTTGCACTACCGGTGTGTAAAGCCCTGGTTCAAAAAAGGCAACAAAGAAAGCATGACAGGATGGTGTTCCAAATTCCTACCTTCTACCAAGGACGTTAGGAGGGTGACGTTTGCTGCTTTCCTCCTCCCTGCAGGCAAATTGAGGCCCAGCCGGTCTAATTTCTCTCTCAAGCAACGGCCCCCATTCTTGGATTTTGCTCTGTTTGGGAGAACGGGAAAGAAAAGCCGCTTTGGTTTTAGTTTATCAACATTTGCCCCGTTTTTCTGTTTCAAAAAATTGACTCCGACGTCTGCCCAGAGCCTCACATTCCCAGTTGACAGCTGGGGTAGCCAACCTCCTGGTGGTCTCTGAAGATCTCCTGGGATTCCAACTGATCTCCAGGCTATAGAGATCAGCTCCCCTGGAGAAAATGTCTGCTTTGGATGGTGAACTCTACGGCATTACACCCCGCTGAAGCCCCTCCCCTCTCCAAACTTGGCCTTTCTCAGACTCCACCACCAAAATCTACAGATATTCCCAAACCAGAGCTGGTGATCTTATTGGTCCTTTCTGCACTAGACCTTAAATCCTGGTTCAACGCTGTCCCTGAACTTACATTCTACACTAAACGCGAGTTCACCCCTGTAATTATCTCGGGGTATTTTTACATTCTACACTAAACGCGAGTTCACCCCTGTAATTATCTCGGGGTATTTTTACATTCTACACTACACGTGAGTTCACCCCTGTAATTATCTTGGGGTATTTTTACATTCTACACTACATGCGAGTTTACCCCTGTAATTATCTCAGGGTATTTTTACATTCTACACTACACACGAGTTCACCCCTGTAATTATCTTGGGGTATTTTTACATTCTACACTACATGCGAGTGTACCCCTGTAATTATCTCGGGGTATTATTACATTCTACACTACATGCGAGTTTACCCCTGTAATTATCTTGGGGTATTTTTACATTCTACACTACATGCGAGTTTACCCCTGTAATTATCTCGGGGTATTTTTACATTCTACACTACATGCGAGTTTACCCCTGTAATTATCTTGGGGTATTTTTACATTCTACACCACACATGAGTTCACCCCGTAATTATCTTGGGGTATTTTTTTGTTTCCATATTACACTGAGGTCACCCCAGTTTTGTCCCACACTTGTCCTGGGATAAACGGATGCTGTTATAACCAGGGATAAATGCAAGGTATCGTGTTGCGAGTTGAACTCTGACAAAACCAGGGGTGAGATCCAAGTGCGGAAGGGATCATTAACAACTAAGAGGTTTATGGCTGACAGCCACTCTAAGAGCCAAAGTAAAAAACGAGAATGCTGAACAGCGCAGTTCTACGCAGCATCACAACCCTTCTGAGTCCAACTGTTTCCATCGTCCACAGTCTGTATTTCTCACCGAGACTCAAGGTGGATGACACAGTGTGACGAGATTCAATCAAGAGGATGGAACGACCAATAAGCAAAGTAACAGGGGCCGAAACAAAGCTTAGGCAATCAGCACGACACATTAAACCATGCAGAAATTACATGGTAGGATGGTATGGTAAAGGTTTCCTTTGCTCGAAAGCCAGTTGAATCCGACTCTAGGGGTCCGGTGCTCATCTCCATTTCCAAGCCAAAGAGCCAGCGTTGTCCGAAGACATTTCCGTGGTCATGTGGCCAGCATGACTAGACACCAAGGCACATGGAACGCTGTTACCTTCCCACCAAAGCGGTATCTATTTATCTACTTGCAATTTTCTCGCTTCCCAACTGTTTGGTTGGCAGGGGCTGGGGCCAGAGATGGGAGCTCACTCCGTCACGCGGCACTAGGGTCTCAAACTGCCAAACTACCGACCTTCCAGTCTGCAGTTCAGCATCTTAACCACTGAGCCTCCACAGCCCTTTTTGATAGGATGATACTTACAGGAATTAACAGTAAGTACCATACCTGGTAGTATCATTCGGATTAGGGTTCCCAGCTCTGGGTTGGGCACTTCCTGGCTGAGCCTCCACAGCCCTTTTTGATAGGATGATACTTACAGGAATTAACAGTAAGTACCATACCTGGTAGTATCATTCGGAGTAGGGTTCCCAGCTCTGGGTTGGGAAATTCCTGGAGATTTGGAGGGGGTGGAGCCTAGGGAAGGCGGGGCTTGGGGAGGGACCTCACTGGGGATGTAATGCCATGGAGTCCATCTTCCAAAGTAGCTGTTTTCTCCAGGGGGACTGATCTTTGTAACCTGGAGGCCAGTTGTAATTTCTGGAGATCTCTAACCACCGCCTGGAGACTGCAGTTAACAAGTCTAACAATCAATGCCTTTAAATAAATATTTTGAAATACCAAATGGGTGTATCTTCTTAATAGATATTCAGTTATCAAGGTTTTCTTATACCAACTCCAAAAGTATTTAATACAAAGGAGGACAGATATGCTGCACAGAGGAGGCTACTGGTTGAAAGAGATTTCCTAGACCGATGGTTCCGATTTGAAGTTTGGTCTCCACAGCAGTTCTACACAACATCACAACCCTTCTGAGTCCATCTGTTTCCATCGTCCACAGTCTGTATTTCTCACCGAGACTCAAGGTGGATGACACAGTGTGACGAGATTCAATCAAGAGGATGGAACAACCAATAAGCAAAGCAACAGGGGCCGAAACAAAGCTTAGACAATTAGCACGACACGTTAAACCATGCAGAAATTACATGATAGGATGGTAAGGCTTTGTATTAAATACTTTTGGAGTTGGTATAAGAAAACCTTGATAACTGAATATTTATTAACTAACTTAAATTTTGGAAGGACAACCAGAGACAACCTTTGAAAATACTTGGTCAAGATTCTACAAATGGATTGAAGAATACAATAAATAAAGCATACAGACTCATAACTTCCTTTGAGGATATTATTTTTACATATTTGCAAGAAAATTATACGAGGATTTAAGGTGGATTATATAAAATCAATGTTTTGTTAAGGTAAGAGATCTGTAAACAAGAAACTTAAGGAGGTAACGGATATCCTCATTCTATGTTATTTTATGTTTGTCTTTAAAAATAAAAAAGTTTTTAAAAAAGAATATACATTCATTTGGTATTTCAAAATATTTCTTAAGGCATTGATATTAGACTTGTTAATGGCATTTGCAGTGTGCATTTGTCTTTGATAACTGGCACATTGTGTTTTCCCCTTCTTTTGTCTACTGCCTGGAGACTAGCTACCCTAGCACTGCATAGTCCTCATACCTTTATCAAAACATCAGTACATTGAAGTCCATGGGCTTAGGAAGGTGTAACTCTGCTTAGGACAGCACTGAAAGTTGTTCAGTCAAGAGTCTGGGACATCGATTAAAATATACCTCTGCTCAACAACCTTCTCCTCTTTGTGAACCCGAGGCCACATTGAGAGGCCGGCAGAAACCACAGTTGATAGAACAAACCACCAAATGTCAGTAATACATCCTGGCTCGTCCACAAACCACAGTTTGTCTCTGGCCTGTAGCTACAGCGGGGCATTTTGGGGCTCTGCACCCTTAGTTACAGGCCCCGCCTCCAAGTTTTCATTAAAGGAAGCCTTTTAAAACCTTTTAAAAAGTTTTCTTATAATCAACTTTAATTAGGTTTAGCTCCCCCCCATTTTTTTTATGTCCCCCAAAGTAAAAAATCCTGGCTATGGGCCTGGTTTGTCTGCTCCAGCTGGGGGGACATCTTCCCTCTCCCTCCCATCTTTAGTGATGGTCAACCTCAAGGGACACTGCCACTCAACTAACCCTATAGATTAAGAACATAAGAGAACGTAAGAGAAGCCAATGTTGGATCAGGCCAATGGCCCATCCAGTCCAACACTCTGTCACATAGTGGCCAAAAATACCAGGTGCCATCAGGAGGTCCAGCAGTGGGGCCAGGACACTAGAAGCCCTCCCACTGTGCCCCCCCTCCCAAGCACCAAGAATACAGAGCATCCCTTGCCCCAGATTGAGAGTTCCTGTCTATAAGAACATAAGAGGAGGAGCCAATGTTGGATCAGGCCAGTGGCCCATCTAGTCCAACACTCTGTGTCACACAGTGGCCAAAAATCCCAGGTGCCATCAGGAGGTCCACCAGTGGGGCCAGGACACTAGAAGCCCTCCCACTGTTGCCCCCTCCAATCACCAAGAACACAGAGTATCCCTTGCCCTACACTGAGAGTTCCTATCTATACCTTGAAGTTAATAGCCACTGATGGACCTCTGCTCCAGATGTTTATCCAACTCCCCCTTGAAGCTGTCCATGCTTGTCGCTGCCACCACCTCCTGTGGCAGTGGTTTCCATGTGTTAATCACTCTTTGGGTGAAGAAGGACTTCCTTTCTAACCGGACTGCTCAGCAATTTCATGGAGTGCCCATGAATTCATTGTGAATTCACAAACCACACACTCATGCAAATTGCTACTAACAGACTGGTGACAAATCCTATCTTAAAATCCCAGCTTGGAGAGAACCAGTCTTTGTTAGTTACACTTTCTGCATTTTGATATTGTGAATAACTGGCATCGGATCAAAGCCCAGTTCATAAACCACGGTTCACTGTGATGTCTGAACGCAGCCTCCAGGTTTCAGAGGGAAGCCTTCAAGTGACTGCAGCCTCCTAGCTTCTAGAAAGCAAGGAGCAGACCAGTTATTTGGACTCTGTTCCTAAATATAGCAAGTCTAGATAGGACGGGAAAGATAACAGCACCACAAGTCTTCTCATTCTCCACTTTACAGCTCAGCCCTTGTGAACTGACTGTTCAATAAATCGTCTATTTTAGCAGTCAGTCAGAGGCGCTGACTGGGGTTAGCACCTCAAGGGTCTTATCAGTCAATAATTTCAGGCAGCAGATCCCAGAGAGGGCGCCATTTTCCTGCCTCTGATCGTAGATGAAATATTAGCCCTGTGGATGGAAGTGATGTTGATGGTTTACCTCACGGTGTTACTCCACTACATTCCTGACCAAGGGGAACTGATATCTCACAAAAGGACCTCTTGAACATATTACTGGGCTTAGGTTTGTCTTATTAATGCTTTAATGTGCCATATTAGTCCTGGGGATGGAAGCAATGTTGATGGTTTACCTCACGGTGTCACTCCGCTACACCCCTGACCAAGGAGAACTGATATTTCACAAAAAGACATCTCAGACATATTACTGTGCTCAGGTTTGCCTTATTAATGCTTTAATGTGCCATATTAGTCCTGAGAATGGAAGCCATGTTGATGGTTCACGGTGTCACTCTGCTACATTCCTGACCAAGGGGAACTGATATCTCACAAAAGGACCTCTCGAACATATTACTGTGCTTAGGTTTGCCTTATTAATGCTTTAATGTGCCATATTAGTCCTGAGAATGGAAGCCATGTTGATGGTTTACCTCACAGTGTCACTCCGCTACACCCCTGACCAAGGGGAGCTGATATCTCACAAAAGGACCTCTCGAACATATTACTGTTCTGAGGTTTGCCTTACCTTCTCAAAATGCCCCCCAGGAGAGAGGCATTGAGGCATTCTGGCGGGGACAAGCGTCTCTTCACTTCCGCGATCGTCACTTTATATTTCGAAGTAGAGCTGAGCAGAGATAAGCGGCCGGGAACCGAGCAAAAGAGATCCGTCGGGTTAACGACACACGTACCACCTGAGAGAGAGAGAGAGAAGTCACATATTAAGCAATGAAGTCAAGGGTCTGAGATTGAAATATCTTCAGTACACATCTGAGGGAATGTTTATGCCTTGTTTGGTTTTGTCACATTGAAAAGCACAGATTTAAGAATCACTGGTTTGAATGTATATATATATATGCCAAACAAAGAAATTAAAGGAACTATAATCAGTTGAATTTATTGAATACAACTATATACAATATAGCTCTGACCTGGATAGGCCAGACTGGCTCAATCTTGTCAGATTTTGGAACCTAAGCAGGGTTAATTCTGGTTAATACTTGGATGGGAGACCACTAAGAAAGACAAAGGTCACTACGAAGAGGCGGGCAATGGCAAGCCACCTCTGTAAGTCTCTTGCCTTGAAAACCCTAAAGGGTAACCATAAGTCAGTTGTGACTTGACGGCAAATATAAAGTAAAGGTAAAGGTTCCCTTGCTCAAAAGCCAGTCGAATCCGACTCTAGGGTTGCGGTGATCATCTCCGTTTCAAAGCCGAACATTCACAAAAACACACAATATAGGGTATTTGGGGCCTTCTTTGAAAAAGAAATATCCTGAGAAGGGGCAATGATTTCTTTATAGTCACAGATGCCATGAAGATGATATTTTAATAATTACACTCTGCTACATCACCAGTTCTCGACACTCATTTCTTTTCTCCCTTTTTCTCATTTTGGATCGGTGGGTCTTTCTTCTTTTTAAAGAATGGCCCAGACAATGAGTTTGATTTTCAATAGTATCAAAGGTTGCTTTCTTCATATGACAACCTATCTATTTAATTCATTAATACTTCCCAAGGGGGACCCAAAGCGGCTGACATCAGTCTCTGCGACTTCATTTTGTCCTCACAACAGCCCTCTGAGGTAGGTCAGCCTGAGAGAGTGTGACCGGTCCATGGTCACCCAGCAAGTTTCCATGACAGAGTGGGGATTCGAAACTGGGTCTCCCAGAACCTAAGTCAACACTCTTGACCATTACACCACACTGGCTCTTACCTCTGCAGAAGGTAAGGGGAGATGGACCCTGGGATAAGAAAATGGGGATGTTGGCACATCTATTAATTCTTTAAAGCCAAGGAGGATTGTGGTCCATGGTCCATATCCAGCATTGTTGCCCAGTTTAGCTACTGGCAGAGGAATCCTGAGCTAAGTTATTGGCTTCTAAGATCCCCCAGTGTTGAATTGTACTGTCAATCAAGGGTGACACATGAATGGGTGGGAAGAAGATGGCCTCAGATCTTCTTTTAGGAAACGATGAGTTTTTCCAGTAAGAACATAGGAAGAGCCAAGCTGGATCATAGTGGTCCATCTAGTCCAGCTTCCTGTTTCAAACAGGAGATGAAACAATTGCCCTGGAGAGCGAAGTAAGCAGGGCACGGAGGCCAAGGTCTTCCCTTGATCCTGCCTCCTGGGACTGGATTTCAGAGGTCTGCTGCCTCTGTCGATGGAGGCTCCCTTCACTCACCACAGCTAGTAGCCATTGATGGACTTCTCCTCCATGAATCTGTCTAACCCCCTTGTAAAGCTATCTATGCTCATAGCCACCTAGGGATGCCGGCCTCCAGGTGGGACCTGGGGATCCCATGGAATTACAGCTCATCTCCAGACTACAGAGATCAGTTCTCCTGGAGAAAAAGGATGCTTTGGAGGGTGGAATCTATGGCATCATGCCCCACTGAGGTCCCTCCCGTCCCCAGACTCGATCCCCAAATCCAGGGCTATTTTTGGGCAGGAACGCACAGGAACGGAGTTCCGGCTGGCTCCCAAGTTGGCCACGCCCAGGAGGAACTCATTAGCATAACAGGTCACACCCAACAGCAGAAACTCATCAGGATTGGCTACATTAGGAGTGTGTGGCCTAACATGCAAAGGAGTCCCTGCTACAAAAAAAGGCCCTGGGTTTTGACAACAAACAAGGTAAACGAGCAAAAGGTGGGTGTGGCTGGATGACCACACTTCTGGTAACATGGGGGTGCGGCCTAATGTGCTAATGAGCTGTGCTGTCAGGGGTGTGGCCTAATATGCTAATGAGTTTCAGCTGTTGGGTGTGGCCTATTATGCTAATGGGTTCCTGCTGGGCTTTTTCTACAAAAAGAGCCCTGCCCAAATCTCCAGGAACTTCCCAGCCTGGATCTGGGAACCCTATGCCCTCATCACCCACTGGTGGCCAGGGGGAACCTGGCAACCCTATGGTCACCACTGGTGGTAAATTTTGTAGCTTCATTGCTCCTTGAGTAAAGAAGTATTGTCTGTCCTGAACCTATTTCCCAACAACTTCACTGGGTGTCCCTGGGTTGGAGTATTATGAGAGAGGGAGAAAAGGCTCCCTTGGTCTACTGTCTCTACCCCATGCATCTACCATTCCAAGAAAGAGCTTTGTTTGTTGCCTCAGAAGGTCATACGAGAACCAATGGTTCGAAATTAAATGAAAAGACTTTTCGGCG